TTTATCGTTAAAAAATATAACGTTAAATTTTAAATAACCTTTATAACACTTAACAAAATGGTTTATTTAAATTTATAACCTATTTACCTAAATAATCTCTAAACAATCAACACATTTAAATAATTGCATAAAAATACCATCCGTTCTATAAGCAATTATATATACCTCAAATCCACATCTAAACTAAAAATTCTTATTATAAATTAAATATTGTATTATTTGAAAAAATCTACGCCTAAATTTTAAATACCAAATCCAATACTACGCAAACAAATTTAATATATTATTTTTACCGTAATAAATTTATACGTAAATGTTTTAAACAAAAAAACTATCGATTATATAATTTTCTAATTTGAAACATTAACATTTAAGACAAAAAAACAGCCTTTAAAAGGTTTTTTTTAGATATTTATAACTATAATAACATATTAAACTAAATCAATTTACAAACATCTCACTATAAAAAAAATAAACTACTTTAAATTCAAAACTTAACACTATTACTTCTTTAATTTCCACTTCTTCAACTTTTGTTTCTTTTAATAGTTTATTAATTAACAGGATAAACCAATTATAAAAAAAATCAAAAAATAGGTTAACTAAAACATAAAAACTATTAAAACCAATACTCTACATTTTATATTAATTAATATATAGAAATTAACTAATACGTATCGCTAACGTTTGTATAACTATACATACCTTAATAAAATTAGCAATCAACAATCCAAAACCTCTTTTTTAATTAATAATAATAAAATACACCTTACAAAACTATAATATTTTTAAATAGATTAAAGATTTTATAACATTATTTATCTTATACAATAATTTATTATAAATAATTAAATCTATAATTATAAATTAGGTATAATACGCTTAAATATCTTTACATTATTTAAATTTTATAAGATTTTTTGCGATTAGATTTATAGGGGCTTGATTATTGTAGTTAAGAAATATATTGTAAAATAATGTAAACAACTTTTTATTACCGCTACCACTATCCAATTAATCGAAAATAATCATATCTAAGTTTTATCCAAAATATTGGATTTAATAGTTATAGTAAAATATATTTATTAAATGCGATAGGATATAATTTTATAGCGTAGGTTTAAAAATGTTTAGGAGTTACGTTAAAAGAAATTAAATATTAGAGATTATTTTACATACCATTAAACCTACCGCCTATACCAACACATAGCGAATAGGTCTTAATTAACTGCCAAAATCCTAAAATTAAAATAATATAAATCCATATTTAATTTAACAATTATTATAATAACAAAATAATCTATTAATTTAATATGTTATTTTTTAAGAAAAAAAAAAAATAATTAAATCCCGGTTTTAAAAATAGGCAACAGAATAATTCGCTAAACGTTTAATATTTTACTATAAAAATGTTATTAGTTAAAATGTAAATAGTAAGTAAATTAAAAAGGTAAAAAGGATAAGTTAATATAAAAATAATAATAAATTTAATTTTATACTTAAAAAAAATATAATTAATTTATATAAAAAAAGAAATTGAAAAGGCAGAGGCATATTTATTATTTTATAAACGCCGCAAAATCTTACAACGTTTATTTTAAATAATTAAAATATGGATAATTAATTTTACAAATTTTATATTATTTATATCCTATATTAAAACAAACCATATTTGTTTATAAAGTAAATTTAAAATTAACCCGCTTTAAAAGTTGCTAATAATAGTTAATAACATAAAGGTATAAAATATAATTTGAATTATAAGAGTAAAGAAAATATCTTCTATTTAGGCCTAAAGGGTATTAAGGAATAATGTAATATTTTCTGCTATTGTTGCTTGTTTAATAAAGGTTTATTTAATTATAAAAAAAAACTATTTTAATAAGGGCCTAATAATTTATTATAAATCATAGTTAATTTCCTATAAAACAATATTAAAATAAAGCGTAACATATTTTAAATATTTTCCCAACCAATTTTGTTTTATCCTTTTCGACAAACGCTAAAACCTATTACTTTTAACGCGCATTATTTTTTTTTCTTTTTTATAATAACATAATTGTATAAGTTTTAATAATTAGATATTTTTATATATTCGTAAAATTAATAACCAAAATTATTTTACGTATTTATTTATATTTATTTAGTTTTAAATAAACTTTTAACCTACCCAAATTTTTTATGTATTATTGTAGAAAGATTTTGTAATGTACCTTAATTATGTTATTATCGCAATATAAGCTTATTTATATGTTATTGAGATTTATTTTTTTTTTTATATAAATTTTATTAAAAAACCTATCCATAATAGTTAATAGCTATAAATTATTTAGTATTAATAATAATTATTTATTTGTTTTATTTACGTATTATATGTTATTTTTCGATTTTATTTTTAGCGTTTATTTTTAATAACCTATTTGAAAGTTTAAATGTAAAAACTTCGAATAATTTGAAAACATTTTTAAAATTTTATTTTTCGGAAAATTGGTTTTGCCGCGTTATTTTTTCTTATAGTGCTCGTAGAAATAGCGAACGGGCGGGTGTTATGGAATAACGAGCGAGCGGGTGTTATTTTAAAATTTGCGGTTGAGGAAACGGTTGCTAATTAATAGGCATGGTTAATTTTAATAACGAAGCAAATATAAGAAAAACGAAAATTAAAAAATAAAAACGAAAATGTTGACGTTTTAAAAAAGGGTTATTTAAATTTAATAAAACCGTTTTCAGTTTAAGCGGATATTATTTTATCCTAACATTCCATTTTAAGATATTTGTTGGTCCGTTATGGCAGGCGTGTAGTCACCTAGGTTAGGTATGTAGATGTGTTGGGGCTATTAATATGGGCTGATTAGTCATAGTCACTTTAGACAGCAGTGCTGTCTGAACCTCAATGACTTACTCCTTGATTAATAAGCGTGTATAAACTATGTAACTAGGCAACTATTAAACAATCTAACTTACTAGGTTAGTTACACCTTAACTCTTCAAGGGATATCCATCTGCCCATAGTAGACTACTTGGGTTGCTGGTTAATAACATTTAAATACTATAACGAAGCCTAAAATAAGTAACTATATATATTAAAGTCGTTCCAGGTTGTACAGTTCAAATCACTCTGCAAAACATCAGTTCATAAACACAGATTCGATCTTTCCCAGTCCAAGCTATCGTATGGAGTACCTAGAATAAACGCATCGTCTTCGCGCGTTGTATACGCCTATTGCCATACCGACCTCATACTTGCACCACAGGCAGAAGACTTCAAACAATGCCCAAGGCTTTCAGCTCAGTGGAACGTCAGACAACCCATTTATATTCGTAAAGGAGCCAAAAAGTCTTCTAGATAATCCGATGGGGAGATAAGAGGTAAGCCTCGGTCCTTAGGGTTGACGGGATATAATTCCGGCTCCAAGTATGTCTCACAGCAGGCTACGGCAATATCTCCACCACCGCCATCGCCATCACGGCTATGAAGTCTATTTCGGTATGGCTTAGCCGAACTTGTGAAGTCGTTGCCATAATTGGGGTCAATCAAGCCACCATAGGGTAACACCTGGAGGGTCTCATTCAAAAGCCATTATCCTAGACCGTAAGAGTGAAGATGCAACATGAGTATGCAGAGAGCCCAATTGAAGGATATAGGCTGGGATTCGTATCAGCCTCGTTCTCGAGCAAATCTTAGCTTATGTACCTAATTGATAGAAAGAGCTGTAGCATTGGAAGGTCGTAGCACATATTAGCGCACATCTTAGCGCACATCTTAGCGCACATCTTAGTAACCCCAAAGGCACGGTGCCGGATCTTGCAAGGAAAGCACCCCCCGCATTATTGGTTATTGGGAGCAATGGTACATTATAGTATTCCTTCAAGGCTCCTTCAATGCTCCTTCAATGCTCCTTCAATTATAACCGAGCGAGCCTTCCAAGAAGCGAAAGTTATACCTGCCTAGGTACCTGCCTAGTAATGCATTAGACTCGATTTACCTACATAATGTAATTGGCAGACTAGGTAGTCGCGTGGTGTTGGCTAAAAACTACAACAACTACCTGGTTAAACTAAACTCAATCGGCTGAAACTAAATCCACCAACACCTACATAACTAACCGCTCACCAAACTTTACATTACTATGTACAAGTCTCCAATCAAAGAGCGATCATCTCTCAACATACCTATCTTTAAATTACATTACATCTATAATGTTGCCTGCTATATACTACCTATATACTATTACATAGTACGCCGACTGAGGTTTTCAGTCGACTTAGGTACCATCATGCGTGTCATACACCGCCACAAGCTATATCTACATGGACAAACGCTACTCAGACGTCGAATGCTCTCACCGGGGCATGACATGATTCGTGCTAGGGTGTAACAACCGGGAATTAGGAATGTCAGTGACACGTCTCCAGCATTAGCACCAAACGTTCGCATGTGGCATGGCTACCCGTGCATTACCGAATCCCTTATCCAGGGCTCCGGTCACCCCCTCGTTCCTCGGCCCGTGTTATACCCATGTCATAGATCCGGAAATGTAAGGACGGATATACAAAGCTAACCACTCGGGCCGGTTCTGGTAATCTAGTAGCACAAGTAATGGGCGCTTTAGCAATACCTATCTACATGTTCAAGCTTGGCAACTAAAACTGACGGGGATTGGCTCATTCGATAGTCTTGTCTTAGTCGTACGGCAGCCCAGGAACCTATCGGGTTTTCTGTAACTGCACGATTAATCAAGTACTGTTTTCCGGGTGGGTGCCTCTTCATGCGAGCCTCTTTACTACGGGTTATTTTATGAGCACTCGGGTCAAGTTCCGAGCTGTGGTATCGTTTTATCATAATTTCCTCAACACCGCGCCGGAGATGCTGCCTTCGTCCTCGTAGCTCCGTTATAGGTCACCTATCTAGTAGGGATGAGGCGGCGTTACTTTAAGGTCGGGTATCTAGTCTACAAATATCCGCGACTTCGGCTTTCGTGCGATTACATCGTTGTGATGTGCAGCTGACAGGGATCTGCTGAAGAATTCAGTCCAGCCCTGCCGACAAATCTCACCGGTTACAATGTTACTCCAGCTCGCAGGAGGTGTGGGTAGCCAAAGAAATCGGGAGGGTTGCTTTGATGTCGGCCAATCACGCATCGACTATAGGATAAGTCTATATTGGCGGTGAGGTATCGTAGCATGATCGAATTACCAGGTGCTTGAAGACCTGCCTCCTGCCATTGGTTCCGAAACACTTAGTACCTGGTTCGTTGACTGGACATATCAGGTGAGCTTCCATAATTTTTCCTGGGCAGGAAGACTAACTACCTACCTTTCTGGTCACTAGATCTCGTGTGGTTCCTATGTACTCCATACTCTACAAGATATCGTCTAGTCTCCAGGGATCCACGTCTTCGGGAAAAGCATGAAGGCCACCACCTGCCGGCTGTTTGCTTTTGATTCGCTTGAACTATGCACTCTAGCACAACAATTATTTTAGTTAGCCAGCGTCTCCCTGCGGTGCGTACATCCGGAAATCCTTCCCTGAGTGCATAACTATCTCTCTCTGTCATTGGACACGGTCAGTCTAGTCGGGCGTAGTCTAATGTTACTCGTATGCCATGCCATTTTACGCTTACCAGGCGGAACAAAGGACGATCGCCCGACGATCCTAGGAATGCAGGTATAAAGCACTCATGGAGGCCGAGTTCATTCCCCGGAAACAAAAGTAGATAATCAGGACTGTCTTACTCTAGCAAATCCCATCACAGCCGACACCATGCTCGTAGAACAACCCAGAGACATCACACAAGGCCATCTAGAGAAGAGCAGCCTACTATGGCGGTCGACAGAAACCGAAGCCGTAAAACCAGTACTCGACCACGATATTACGTCTAGTACTTCGTCGTCCCCATCAACACCGAGGGATGTGTATGATCCCTATCGGCGTCTTGTCGTGAGGGGACAGGGGAACTACATATATCTAGCAGATGGACGTGAAATACTGGATGCCAGTGGAGGGGCGGCTGTTGCTGTGAGTAGGCTGTGGCCATTTAACTTTAGAGGCATCATTGCTATCAAGTTATCTCTTAAGGGGGTTTCACTAACCTCTGCTGAATAGTGTCTCGGACATGGCGTTAAGGAGGTCGCAGATGCAATTCTCACTCAGACTGCCTTGATCTCCTATATTCCTTGGGGTTTTATGGATAGCCAGAGCCGACGAGATCTAAATAGATGGCTATCGCAAAATTCTAACGGCCACTTCGCGAAGACATGGGTTACATCATCTGGTATGTTGAATCCCCGTCGCACTATCGTGCGAGCTCCTACTAAATATAGCTTGTCTTCCAGGCTCCGAAGCGATGGAAGGCGCAATAAAGCTTGCGCGCGAGTACTTTACGTGGATTGGGCAACCGCAGCGCGTGAACTATATCGCTCGGGATGAGTCGTACCATGGGATCACGCTGGGCGTGCTGTCTGTGGGAGGTCACGTAACTAGAAGAACCCCGTTTGAACCACTTCTGGTACCCAACGTCTATCATATACCGGCGTGTAACCCTTATCGCCAAAGACTTCCCAGAGAGTCTGATGACGAGTTTGTCTCCCGCAAGGCAGAAGAGCTCGAACAGGCGTTCCTCCGGGCTGGCCCAGATACTGTAGTAGCATTTGTCGCTGAGCCGGTCGTCGGAGCAGCAGCTGGCTGTATGCCATCCGTCAATGGCTATTTTAAGGCGATGAAGGCCGTATGTGATAAGTATGGAGCTTTACTTATACTCGATGAAGTCATGTGTGGCATGGGAAGAACAGGCACCCTCCACGCTTGGGAACAGGAGGGCGTCACTCCCGATATACAAGCGGTTGGGAAAGGCCTTGGAGGTGGTTACCAACCCGTCTCGGCCATATTAGCCAGCAAGAGGATCGCAGAAGTAATGGAAGCCAAGGATGTCGCTTTCACACACGGGCACACGTATATGGATCACCCCGTCACCTGCGCGACTGCCCTGCGGGTACAGCAGATCATACAACGTGATAACCTCCTTCCCAACGTCCAGGTCCAGGGTCAGTACCTAGAAAAGCTACTCCGCAATAAACTACAGAACTACCCCCACGTCGGCGACATCCGGGGCCGCGGCTTATTCTGGGGCGTCGAGTTCGTCCGGGATAAAGAGACCAAAGAGCCGTTCGACCCTAAACTTCAGATCGCGCGCCGCATCCACGAGACAGCTCTGGAAGCTCCGCATAACTTGTCGCTGTATTTCGGCCAAGGGTGCGCCGGTCAGGGCAAGGGCGACCACATCATGATCATGCCCGCGTATAACGTCACTCGGGACGTCGTAGAGACGATCGCCGATAGGGTCGCGGTTGTTATCGCCGACTTCTTTAGCCAGCTGGACAAAGAGCACGGAGCTGAGCAAGACTAGGTGTCTCACACGCTGAGCCCGAACCTGTTGTTGGTCATACAATAAATATCTAGCAATCTTACTTCTACTTTTATTAGTTTCCATCTCGTCGTACCGATGGGCGTTATGCGTATCTCGTTGGTCTATCGTCAACCACGGGTAACTTCTAACGAGAACAAGAGGTGGAATATAACCCGGACGCCGCATGTATGCTAGCTTCTGTTCTATATTCATTATATCTGGCAATATCTCTGCTGTTTTCATCAGACACAGTTACAATGATCTGTTAGTTGTTGCTTTAGCAACCAACACGGGCTAGTAGTTATTTAGACGGGAGCAATCATCTCGACGGAATCTCTTAGGATATACGACTATATATACGATGGATATGAAGCGGCTCGCGATTTAGATTACATCAGTTGGTTAGTCATTATGAGCACTCTTTATACAACCGACTTCGGTCTCGAAATATAACGGGATCCAAGATGGTGAATAAAAGACTTCTCACGGGTTCGTTACGCATCTGCTATGTTTACTAGCACTAATTACAACAACGAAGCCTACCGAGATGAATAGTATAATTGCCGTAGATAAATGACCTCTAAGTATTAGATCCCGCCTAGACAGTCTACGAGCGTATATACTAGTATAGTAGTAAACACCCATTATTCATGATCCCCTTTCCCACTTCGTGTGTAGGCAGGTAGGCAGGTACCTAAGGTACGTCCAAGTACTAGGCCAGAGTAACAAAACTCGGGGTATCCGGACTAGGTCTCGCGCTTAGTATCTGTCTCTTAGCTCTTTGCCACAGGCGGGCAGAGCGCAGCAAGCACCCAATCTGCCTCGTGACGTCCCTACATGCCGCTTACGCGTTACATCGCATCTTTAGCATGGGTGGGTCTGTAGCTGTGCCTCAGCGTAGAGCGGTGGCCGTGGCCGTGGCCGTGGCCGTCAAGCAGATTTACCGGTTTCGGGTTCGTCGGGATGTGGTCCAGTGGGTAGGTGGTAGTGGCGGATCGTAAAGGATGCCGACGATCGGGCCGTATTAATAATGTGCGTATGGCTTTTTTCGGCCCGTAGGTGGCTGGTAGGAGGGAAGGAGGGAGTGTGCGGTGAGTGTTTACTATGTGAGAGGTCCTCTAGACAAGGATGTTCCATGTGAATGTGTGTGTGTGTGTGTGCAATCTCGTTGCTGATGAAGCAAGCAGTCGCTTAGATGATGGGTGACCTCGGATGGGCCCATTCCGACGAAAGAGCCCAATAGGAGTGTCGACGGCTAAGGAGTCGTATTTGCTTCTAGATGCCTTGGGTTTGGGGCAAAGATCTGGTAGTGACGTACAAGCGTCACTGTAGGTGTCCATCAAACTGCTGTTAAATTGGATGCCTGCAACTGTGATAGCTTCTTCGAAGAAGGTGGCACGACAATGCAACTCAGGCTTTCGATACCGGTGGCTACCTGTCCAGGTGGGACGGGAGTGATCCCCGAGCTCCGCTTGTGTGGATAAGAGGAGGAGAGAGTACGCCTGGCTGATATTGGTGTAGAGAAGTGTAAAGAAATGCTGAGACGGGCTTTTCGGATCCAGGAAGTTACAGGTTTTCGATTGCATTGTAAAACGAGGCCGTTCTCTTTTCCACAATTAATAGTGGGAGACTGAGTTTTCACTCATCGTCGTCGTCGTCGTCGCTATCACTAGACCAACCCTCCTTGTAGCTATCGGCGATCTCAGCAAGTTCGTTACCTATCGTCTCACGATCTTCTAGACCGATGGAGCGGATAACAGCACTGCGTAAAGCTTTCACTTTATCCGTGACGGTTGAATCCGTAGACAAAGCCGTCTGAATAGATACGCAATCTTTCATTGGACGGCCATTGCTATCCCGAAAAATCTTAGGGTAGCTGTCAATGATTGGGAAAGCAACTAACGACCGATAGCTGTGACACTTGATTAGCCTCGGAAGAAAAAAGAAAAAGGTTTCGAGGACGATTCAAGGGGACTTGTTATCAACCGGCTAGACCTACTTGTGGACTTTCGGACGACGTCGTATGCCGTACATGTTCCTCATTTCTAGTTCATCGTCGCGATCGACTAGCTCTAGGCTCTCTGGCCCTCTATCAGCTAGAATTTGGCTGAAAACACGCCGTCGCCGCCGTCTCCTATAATCCTGGTTAAGATTGAGGTCTTGGGGAGAGGATAAGTCTATGTCCAGAGTTGCGACCCCTTTCTGCGAGCCGGACTCGGAGTCAGCGTCGTGATCTATGCCGGCGCCGTATACGTTTCGCATACGTTCATCCCGTCTATGCACGGCATCGGCGCTTCCATTTACGTCGTTTGTACCATTCCCATTGTGCTGAGACTTTTGTGGCTCAAATATACTCATCTCTAGGTTCGCGATAGTTTGCTTTCCAAACACGTTGAGAAGGTCAGCAATATTTCCAAGACTACTTGAATAGACGCGATCAGAGGTCTTCAAGCGTGTGCATAGAGTTGTGCTTTCCAAAGCTGCGGCGAACAAAGCAGTTATATGCCAGGTTGATGTAGGGTCCAGCCGCACAGATAGGGGTAGAGGGGTCTCCGGTAGCGCAAGCGGGATGATTAGAGACGCCTGTGAGTTAAATTCCGCAAGAGCTCGCGCTTTGTTGGCAAGCTTTAGTAATCTCTTTTCCTAGTTGAGTATAAGTAATGAACGGCAACATAAATGTTGAAGTAGAGGCATACTCTTGATAAACCTCTATGAGGCTCTTGAGCCCCTAAAACCCAAATAGGGGTTTTACCATATTCATCCCGAAGTCGCTCCATATACTTGGCCGCAAACCCTGCCCAGGCATCATCGATACCTGTCATGACCTGGAGGCCTTGCATCTGATCAGCCTCCTCAACGAAGGAGCGCAGATCTCTGTCTAAGAGGTCGTGCTCCTTATCCAGCGTAGCGAAAAGCTCTTCCCCCATATGCCACTTTTCAAAGGGCATGACGGTCGAGTTGAGCTCGTATTCACTCAACTGGATAATAGACCTGGGGTGGAAGAAGACACGGTTGAAGTCAGACCAATACCTAACTGTGTTCGTAGTAAGCTCTGCTGGTGCCTGGCCGGCTTCGAGACTCTGTTGATACGAACTCGCCTCTATGGGCTGTTGTCTTTGCACTATCGTCTTGCCAGACCATAGACTATTCGAGGCCGCATCATTGTCGATATCATACAGAGCATTTATCTTCCGCAAGGTTCCAAAGCCTCCTTTCAGGTCGTAGATGACTGTTCTAGGCATATAGGTCTCAGAGCCATCAGACCCGATACCCGGTCTGAAGTGGACGTCATGATCAATAGGTGACTCCTCGTTAGCGCCATATGTGAAGTATGATTCCTGAGCATTCCAGAAATGGGTTGCTAGATAGTTGCTCTGCTGGCCGAGTTGCAAGGTAATTATCTCACGCATGGTAGAACGACGTGATTTACCTATGTACACGAATAATTTATGTAAGTAGAGAAGAGCCTCAGACTGGAAGAGTGACTGGAAAGAGGGATACCTGGATACTTAGTAGGTAACTCATACCTTCCCAGTTACCTAACGAGGTGCCCTACAATGAGATGTTTTATGCAATATTTATTCATAAAACAATTGATAAGATAAATATTTAAGGCCGTTAATTGCCGCCGATAGTGTTCCATGTTCTTATCGAAACTGACGTATCTGCATAATTTATAACAGGTACCTAGGTAGTTTTAAAGTTTAACCTAACCTAGGTATTTACATAATTCAACAGATCCATTTTCAAAAATTACGCAGCTCTTCGATCGTTCTCCGAATAATTTGTACATAATTATCGGTATACTACACTACATACATAGACCAGTGCCGTACTTAACATATCTCTACCAACAATGTCCCTAGCTCAGGAGTGGGAATCCTACAAGACACCTCCCGTCAAGGATGTAGCACCAGTTCCGCAAGTCGGCTCTCCAGCTCCCGCACATCCCAACCTCACCCTCCCAACAGACAAGCCCACCGTTATCGTCTTCCTCCGCCATTGCGGTTGTCCATGTAAGCAGCCATAGCCATAGCCATAGCCATACCCGAGATCCCAGAAGCCATCGTCATCATCACACGCATACATCTAACCGTGCAACCTCCTCCCCTTCATAGTTGCAGAGAAGGCCTTCAAGAACCTAACTTCGATATCGACGCAATACAAAGACGTGCACTTCGTCGCGGTCTCGCATTCCTCGCCCGAGGCCACGGAGCGCTGGGTTATAGAGGTCGGCGGCAACTGGGAGGTGCAGGTGGTCATCGACTACGAGCGCGAGCTGTACGCGCACTGGGGTCTGGGCATCGGGACGACGTGGCAGATCATGGGCCCCATGTCCTTGTACAAGACGTTCCGCCTGGGCAAGGACGAGAACATCTGGAACCGCGCCACCGAGAGCGGTAATAGGTGGCAGACTAGCGGTGCTTTCGCCCTCGACCAGGACGGCATCGTGAAGTACAGCAGGGTCGCTGCGTCCTCTAGTGAGCTCCCAGACCTGGAGGCTGCCCTGACGAGTCTTGGCGTAAAAGTCAAGCCGAAACCGCCGCCGGAGCCGAGGACGGACGGGTTCTTGTAAGTGGGAAGTTAGGCATGATGCTCGTGAGAAAGATAGTGTCCTACGTCCGGCAGTCTAGGGCTGGGGTGTATTGGATGCTTGCTATGGGCAATACTACGAGTTGTTGTTGTTGTTGTTGTTGTTGTTGTTGTTGTTGGCAAGAAATAGATTGCGTGTTGCGTGTTGCGTGTTACAGAATGGTTTATGTAGCTCTTGATATACCATAAGTTCTAAGACTGGAATTAATGATCACGAATAAATACGATAAGAATAAGTTTATTTGACTTGCTGTCTGGTTTTCTAGTCCAGTCTTATCATTACGAATGTAGTATTACACATGAGTCTCCTGCTAGTTTGTAGGTATTGCTAGTAACAGACTATAGCTACAAGTTATGATCAGCTTAGGCACATCAATACAAGACAGTTCACCAGTAAAAATATCTACAACCTACAAGTGAGATGGTACCTATGTATTCACGAGTATCAACGATTGAGACTCGATACATATTTAGATGCCAACGTGTTACCTGCTTAGACATCCCGATACATCTCCGAATGTGTAGGTTGTGCATTTCGTTGGTATATTAAGCAGAGAGGTTGATAATTCAACAGATGCTACGTGTTATCTACATGATCTATAATCTAAGGTTAAACTCATTATAGTTACTCCAGAACGGGAGATACCGGCTGAGCTTTAATTCTATCTGCGATTTAAGCTTAAGATTTGGTGCCTGTTTCGTCACCTCGACGGCTTAAAATCGATTTGCAAATTCACTCATTGGCACCGCATAGTCCCATGGAGGTGAATACACACCGCCCTACTGCCCTTGGCGAGCTAGCGTGTTACGCAGGAGATCATCAGTCGACAATTAACAGTTAATAGTTAACATTATTGATTCTTCATAGGCTATTTTAGTTATGATGTTAATATTAGGTTTCTCTTCGGGGTTACCATAGTAGTAAAGCTAGAATGAGAGCTAACAGAGGCAATTATAATAGATCCTAACCCTCTAGAAATAAGGCTGACATACGTGATTCGTCACACGCCAAAGAGTATCGAATGCCACTATTCACAGCAGTCTTTCTACATATAAGCCAACATCATCAAACCTTACGAGAGGCCACCTGGTAAGCAGCTCGTATACCTAGGCTTTACGCGTAAGCTTTAAGCTTTAAGCTTTAAACTTCTACCTCTTAACGCTTCGCGCATACTAGAGCCAAGTACTGCCTAAATAACCCTCGAATAACCCCTACTACTTTCGGCATGTCCTTGCGAGAAAAGACCATAGGGAATAAGAAGCGATAAACAGTAAAAGACAATATCCAGAGGCTAACCTTCGACATAACACACATCATCGAATAACAAGACGCTATCATCTGTATGTAGTTCTTCGGTGTGTAAATCATATTAAACTTCAAGGCTAAGCCGCACCATGATTTACGCTTTCGTTAACTCACTTCCTGAGTACCTAGGTTTAGAGGAAAAGGGGTAACAGAAGAGGAGAAAAACACCCCCTAGAACTTCTATATACAACTGTTTCTGCCGAAGTAGGTATTTTGGATGCCTTATGAACCATGGACATGTGCTGAGTTATCTTAGTGTGGTGATAAATGCCGTAAGGCAAATAGACTACACGCCTTGTGGATGTAAACAATGCCGTCAATAACCTCAAAGTATAATCCGAGCTACTCTCTCGCTATGAGGCTCTTGTGTTATTAAGTGAATTTAGATTTGGTTCCTATTGGTACTGTTAGTATCTTGCTGGATGGCTCACTTGAAGTTATGCCCTTACTCATCATCAGGACAATATTATCGATGCTGGGAGACACGATAGTGCTAACAATAGATAAACAACGAGCAATTACGTTAATAGTCGACAACAAGAACGCCGTTAGGATTTAATATGTTACAATATCATACACATTAAGAAATGAATATTCACGTGATCACTTGACTTGATAATTAGAGCCCTCGCCAAATATAGCCATTAGATACACCACTGGCTAGAATCTTTTTTTTTTTTTTTTTGCCTTCGCGACTCTAATATTACTCTTGCAAGACTCAACGAACTTATACGTAACGATTTATGTAGAGAACACCTACCACAATGAGTTAAAGCCCGCCCAGCTCGATCCTCGGATCCGATTGGAATATGCCATGTGGTTTTCTAGTGCCGTCTACGACGCTAGTTAATTAGCGATCGTGAGATGCTACCGATAGACCCGGGTTGCGTAAAGAACGAAAAAATCGCTCGAAATAATATCCATAGGGCGAGATTGTGCTCGATATAGTAGCTGCCAGGTCGTCAATGTTCCTCTAGCTGCGTTTTGTGGAATAGTCTTTCAGCCTTCAAGGCTGAGGATCTATTCCTTCGCTCTTTATTAGGCGGGTCTTCCACGTGCCTCGAGGACGGAAGAGGTTCGCCTTCCAAATCGGTCAATAACTTCAACTTTCGATTAGATCCTCCACTCGGCACAAGTCAGATCAATCTTTGCAGTGGCGGAGCCAGGTATCACGGCACAGAAATTTAGGGTTGTGGCGTTCATGATCTTCAATGGCACATACTCCAGATATTCCGTCTAGACTAGACCACGATCCAATCCCAAAATAGCATCCTTAGTCTGGACATCCGCATATACGGGGCTGGTGATACCCAAGTCTCTGGGTTGAGCTTACTAGGTATTAGAAGGATTCGACCTTTTGTTTGTACCTGCATGGAGCATCAAGTAATGAAGCGGCGAGGGGCTTGTGGTCTTCGCAACTTTCCGTCTGGACAGAGAGACATTCATGATCTGCGAAGATATCGCTACTAGTTGGCATATCGTTGAACCCTGGTCCCCGTCAAGAACGCTTCTGGATGTTTTAACATTTATGCCGCAGTAGACTGCCAAGCAAAACATTCAGGGCTCGCGCAAGGCGAGAGCCAAGTAGCCCCCCATGGCGAGTTTCAAAAGACGATCTCTCCCTGTTGGCGGGACTGGCAGAGTCCCGGCTAGCTTATTCGACGACTCAACCACGGATCAGTCTGGACTCGAGAGGTCTTGGAGATCCTTAGACAATATATTTCGTGAATGTGTAGTAACACTCGCCTATGGGTGCCTGGAACTGCCAGTAAGCACAGAGAGCCATAGCTCCGAAGTTTCATATATGACTTTGAATTAAAGTAGTGGCGCTTATGGGATCTGGAGAGGGGATGAGTAGTAGTACGGCGGATAGCTGGACGGGTGTGGGTGGTTGCGATCCTACAAGTCATAGCTCGGGCATATGACGACGTTGAAGATGCGAATTGCCTGTCGGTCAGATGGGATTGTACATAGTATGGTGGGCACTATAATTACCTAGCGCCCATACTTCGATATGGTCGGCGCCAGGTAACTGTAGAGTAGGCTTTTTAAGAAGGCTGAAACAGGAATCACTTGGCTGCCAGCGTTTCAGAAATAAACGTTGGCAGGGGAGCTTAGACCAAATGCACCAACGACCCACGAGGAATGGCACTCTGGTAGCTTAACAGCGTCGTATTGTAGGCAGGGGCTCGTAATTCAGAACTCTCTGATGGTAGACAGAATAGAATACATGGCTGGTGACGATTGGGGAAGGTGTAAAATGTCCGAAGAAATGAAACAAGTCGATCTCTGGGGAGCCAAGATGCTAACCAGTCTTGCTAGTATGTAGAGGCCATCACGACTTCGAAGGAAAGTAAAGCCGAGCTATGAAACAGACACAGACAAACAAACCATCATGATAGTAGCTTTCATCGGTATACCGAGGTCTTCAACCGACGTAAACCTCGCGAGGTTTTGAGGCATATAGAAATCTGTAGATCATATTCGCTTGTAGATGGCGAAAGCTCGAGGGGTCCATAGTAGCGTAGCGTACGTGCGCACTGCTAACATCCGTGATCGTGCTTCACCAAATTAATTTCAATTCCGCAACTCTTGTGCTACTATGCGTCTTGCCGCCAACGTGACATTTAGGACTCCGAGTAACTCGCCGGATAGGCTGGAGCTAACGACAGTGGCCTGTACGCACGCGCCCAAAGCGCGCATTACTCCGGCGATGGGTACGGATTGTAGGCGGGATGATACCGCAGTAGTGGGAATCTGGCGGGTCATCATTTCTAAATCGATCAACCTAGGCCGCGATGGAGAGCTGGTGTGATGGTAGCACGGCAACCCTATGCTGGGCTGCAAAATCTCATCGCATTTCGTAATTCTATGCCCATTCTGGAAGAACTTGTGACGAGCTATGCCTGTTTCACGTTTTCACGTACTTGGCCAAAGAGACCAGAGGGGCCTACCCTTAGACAATCCACATCCAAGGCCGATGGTGTCTGTTTCAGAGAGTCGTGGGCGAGGTCCAAGAAGGCTGACCGCATACATAACGAGAATGCAAGCTGGGGGTCTTGAAGATTGATAGCTGTATTGATAGCTGTAGGTTAGGTAGTTGGCTTTGGCTTTTGCAACGAGTACGAAAGGATTCGCTCGGTGCTTTGTCTACCGCAATGTTCATGCAACTATTCAGGCACACCAATGAGCAATGAGATCACCCATCCTCGCCTTACGTCCCGTGATTCGGTAGAATATTGAGCATAGACATGATGGTTGAGTACGACTACGACGGCAACACCTCGAAATGTTTCAACAACGTTCGTGATGTCGAGTCCATCGTGTTTCAGAATAGCTGCTGTTGCTTGCAGTAGATCCAGTAGAGAGAATGTACTGATCACATCTTGGTATCGAGATCGCTAATTCTTAAACTAACTTACCTAGACCAAGCAAGGCGTCCATGGATCCGAAGCCACAGCTGAATTGGCTTCTCGTATTGGATTGTTTAAATTAATATAGTTTATTGATAGGTCGCCTGTGTTCACATGTGGGGGTCAGGAATGAGAAGAAAAAAAAGGTGGCTTACGAAGCTTGGTCGAGTTCAAGTTTATGGTAGCTCGAAATTACCTAACCTTGGATACATCTATTTAGGTACATATGTACTTGCGCATAGTATTGCCAGTCAGCCAGTTTAGCCTTAGGTAAGAGCGACTGCCCTACATTACATATGTAGGTTACTAGGTATTATGTAGTATGCGCGGTGCTTGTCGCTCTCGATAAACCGATAAAGCCGTACATAGTGTTAGCTTCATAATGGCCTGCAGCACGGCCTTTTTTAGACCATCTGACTGGCGTCAGTAGGTCTCTCAATACATACCTAGGTACCTAGGTACCCATCCCCTGACGTGCTTACTTGCTTTCTTCCCCTCCCCCTCCTCAGATGCGGACACTAAGAATAAACTTGGTCTATTTCTGCAGTGATTAACGGAAGGGCAGAGCCGCCAGATTGCGAGTGCTCTAATGCTGTCCATTCGCTAGACCCACCCGCTTACCAAAATGCCGCCATCCACCTTCTATCTCTAGCCAGCGGATATGATGCCAAGAACTCGGACGGCACAAGATCTATGGTTCAGATATTATAAAGATTTCTATTTATGTCGTGGCCGTGGCCGCGGCCGACGGCAGACGGCAGCAAACAGTATGTAAATAATCTGAAGGAGCCAATCAACCACCTGAAGAGCTCTCTCCTCACGCTCCCCCCCAACACCTCAAGCGATACGCAAGTCCAAGTCAGCTTCTCAGCCACATCATTGGTTTATAGCGTAGTATCTGGCCAGTACAGAGGCCACTCGCCAATGCAGGAACAAGCTTGACCAAGTTTGAAACAAAGCATTTGGTGAATCCATCTAGATAGAATATACAAATTACCTATGTTTTAGATGACGGTGAATGTTCCCATCCACTGGTTCGGGGCATATGTCGGAGAATTCAACTTCATGCTTTGCCCTGGCTATAACCGTGGCCATGTACTACCAGCCGCCGTAGTTGATCAATGGCATACTTAAACAACAAAACGCACGCTTTTTACTTCAGATATAGGTTGGGGGTGAGCTGGGATAAGCTTTACCGTCCGTACAACTGGGTTAGCTTGTTTCTTGGCCGTGCTATATAAAGCTATTTTCACCACTTGGTGGCGTTTTAGGGAGGTGGATATCTTTGGGAAAGACATCTCTGGTAAAAGGATCAGCTTCGCGTGCGAGATGCCTGATGGAGTAGTAAGCTTTTATTCGTTCCCATATTTGCCGATGGGCACGCCACGCCCATTTGGGGTTCGTAGTTTGTTGTGCACGCTCCCAGAATCCCACCGTTGTTTTGCAGCTTAGGTATAATGAAATTGCGGAGGAGTTGTGCAGCTTGCGGCGAAGTTGCCTGTGAACTTTCCTCGTAAAAAAGTTAGCTCATCCATGAGGTATAAGCGCTCTAAAACATACCCATTTTGGGTGGTTTAAACTCACGTGTACGTTTTTTGGGTGGTTACAATCCTTATATACGATGTTAGCTTGCGCCGTAGGAAGACAAAAAATTGTGATTGTAAATCGGCATAAGACAATGGGAAGCTTTTAGCATAGCAAGGGTAGCGGGTCGATCAAACGAGTGGGAGATGCGGTATAGGACGTCGTCATGTAGCTAATAGTAAGTTTAGGACGGGTTGAATTTTCATAAGTGTGGCCGTTTTATGTTTTGGATTATGCTGACCACGACTATTAAACCAAGTCTACCTAGGTATCCATTAGTTCTTGTAAGTCGACTCACATGATCCGCACGCACACGTGTATCTGATCTGATAAGTTAATTGAGTAGGTAGAGAAAGGTCCACTGTCTATGTGTTACCGATGTTACCCCCTACATACTCTTTCGTTAGTACTAAGGGATCCAAGCGGGAAAAGGGATTAAGTTTTGAAGTGTGACTACACGGTATTCCCTAGAGAGAGCTTGGATTTGACGCTCATACTACTACATACGAAGAGAAAACGACTTAGACTACGAGGATAGTCCCATCTGAACACACTACTAAGAGTCTCAGAAAAACATCCTAGTGATGATAACCATATCGCTGGATTTTTGCCGTTCTTGATTCAAGGTTCTGTATGGTAGCGTAAAACCAGGGTGACCCCTCCACGGACCATGGGCCATGGGAGCCGGCGGGCATGACATGTCCGGAAATCTAGAGAATGTGAGTAGGCTGATGGGTCCTTTTACCGATGGAATGGGTTTACAGGCCTGTCTTTCATGGTCGACTATGTCTTCTGGTATCACTTCAAAAAGAATATATCTTGATAGGTTTGCAATGCAACAGAGGAGCATGGTCACGACTGTAACAACATTCAGGTTAATAGTTAATAAGCCTATGATCTTCTGTATGTGATGTTGTGCATGAATGACTGTGGGGGAATCAGTTCCCTGTAGTCGTCTTGGAAGTATCGTACTTCGCATCTTCGCCTCCCAACTAGTCGTTCAGCGATGGACCAGAGGTTGGTTGGTTAGTCGTTGTCGAATAGAGTAACCTAGGCAAATGCTGATTGGACCGGATCGATGCAACTGCACATGAGTAAAGGTGGGATAATGGATGAATAAGATACGAGGAAAGATTAGCGCCGATATCTGGCATCAAGTATTTTCTGAAGCAATGCGCCAGGCGTGTTTCAGACTTGCAGGGAAAACCATAGGGGAATGGAGAGAAGTTCGCAGGGATTAAGGGATCAGCGTGCCAATGGCAGGTGCCCTTTCGTAGCATGGTACCATCCAGCGCCTTTCCCTCTTGGCATCTATTGGCAGGGGAGGCTTGAATAGATGATGGATTGTGCAGGTGCGTGCCTAATACCCCATACCAACGTACCTGCAGTAAACATGACCATACATGTAATTTCCAATAGAAAAGATAACCTCAGTAAAGTGAAGTAGCTTCCCTAATGCAATTATGTGTACTTATTGGCTAATAGAGCAAGCTGAGCAAGCTAAGCAAGCTAGTGGGAAGTAATAATAAAAATTCATGCAAAGTACAATACATTTACATTTGCTGGGCCTAAAGCAGCAATTAAAATGGCCAAGTTCGCTAAGGACGCCATTAAAAGACATCGTCTAACTATTATTAGTTTCCCAACATTTAGAGTTGATTTTGCGGGTTGTCAACGATTCCTGATTACCTACCAAAAAAGCACATACCTATTTGAGAAATTTACCATCGGGAAGTTAAGAGAGCTCCGGTACTCTAGAATATCTACTATGTAATTGAACAATGCGCAACCGACATCCTAATAAGCGATGATAAATCCTTTTCTCACCCCTCTTCCCCTGTCGTCTAACCATGTTCCTGTCATCCGCGATGTACTAGCATACGGAGATTACATGCTGACCCATAGCCCCAATTGGATTCTAATTGTGAGCTGTCTAAGACTTTAAACCGTGGACAAATAGTAGCAAAGATGACAAACTAACAAATTCAAAGACAACAACAAGTTAAGTAGGATCGGAGCTGTCTTATAGCATTCTTTGTCGTCTTGTGGCATACCTGCTTCTTACGGTATGTAAACGACGTCCTACCAAACTATTCTACGCGAAGGAACTTCAATCCGCGTAGAGGAAGGGAGCTTTAATATACTAAACGGCGTACGAAATCGCGAATGTGCCGCATTCTGCTTATAACTCGATAAAGTATGGTGGGATGTCATGTCACTCTGCTATCACTGGAGTAGTAGACTTGTGATACTCGCCGCCTTAACTTTGTCGAACCCCTATTCGCTTAGACCGTATAAATTGCTAGCACAAATGGAAGTGCCTGTTTTTAGAGATGGGCGCGTTTAATACTTATGTTGCTTGAGTTGGTGCTACTTTGCTGTCTGCTTGGTTATTTTTATTGTATTATTTAACAATGCTCAGAAATACTTGTAGAAAATTATAGATGAGCTCATCCATCTGGGCACACTAGCGAAGATAAGTTGATGACCATGATGATGGCATGTGTTTAAATAGGTACCTGTCATCAAGCTGTCAAAACAAACCCCTATGCAAATATATACATAGTATGGGATAGAAGCAAGAAACATGCTAGGTACATACCAAGTTCAGGTCAATGCAAACCCGGTGGACTAGCGAATATGTGCATACATAATCCATTACTAGAATAGTTTGGGAACCCGCGCATGGATAGTGGGTAGAAGAAGGACCGTGAGCTGAGTCCACGTAAGATATCCTTGTAACTTGATTTCAAGGTAGTATTCGCCTGTCCA